CTCTCTGCTTTTTATATTTAACTTTATCTAATTCCGTATGTGTAGGTCTTTTTTGAACTATGCTTCTTGCGGGCCCCGTTAGTGACCATGGTTCATGAAAAGCTTGCACGGTGAGAGTAGCTTGATGCGTCCAGTTGCGTCTCTTCTTGACCAGTTACGTCGCTTCCAAAACCACCTCTGCGCGTACACTCTGAGCCGATTTGAGTGAGTTCTCAAAATGACCTCCTTTCTCCGTCCCTCCTTTGTTGACCCTTCCCACCCCTCCACTTCGCTGCCGTCGAAAATTTACTTTCTTCTAATCGTAGAATTCACTGCTTCGTTGGCACGCCTCTTATTTCTTAGCCTCTCTTCTAATACATCAAATTTTGTGCTTTCCGTGCACTCTGTTATCATAGTTCGTATTTTGGTACCTGCAAAGACTCTACGCATTTGAGTTTCATGACGAAATCCCGTGAAACGTATGCGCTCTGACCGCACTCGGATTGTCTCCAGAATGTCCATTTGAAACTGCACAAACTCTTTCTGACTTAGCGCCCTGATTTCCTCATTTTTTTCAAGCATTAAATTGGGAAATTAATTTTTTGGAGCAAACATAGTCAGATATAGAATTTTTTAGTTACAACTAGGCTGCTCACAATCGGCGGACGAATGGAACAAAAAAAAAACCACTACTGGTTGTTTGTCCAGCGCATCGTCTTTTTAATAACTATCCCATGTATTTCTGCCTCTTTCATACTGTTCACAGCATGCAGATTTTGAGCACGACAGTTCGTCCCCTGCGTTTTTGCATAAATTCATAGGCAGTGACATGTTCTTTGTATTTTAACTTAAGCTGCAACATACCAGACTTGCCGGTGCAATCATGCGTTTTTTTTGCTAACTTGAAGCAGTCAAATTGCCAGTGTCTGTTACTTTAAAATTTGGCTTGCGCACTGCTCATCGTAAATCACCGATAATTTTGCATGAACGAAAATGATTGATTTCCTCGGACGGTGATCCACTGGAAATGATCGATCTGTCCCGATTTTCAATTTAGCAATTTTCTCGCCACGTGCCTCTATGCGAAAGCCGCACGTATGTAGAAGATGAATTTGAAATTTTTAAGTTCTGGACAGAGAGCATCTTCTTAAAAACCAGCTTTCCTGCTTTTCTGGTTCCCGAACTAGTAATTTTCCCTTCAAAATTCTCAAAGCCCTTGTACAAAGTGTAGACATCCATGAAACTTGGTACCATACTCCTGGGATAGTGTATGGCCAGGGAACCTCCTGGCGATATTTCGGCGCCAAATCATGTTTGACTGCCGAGTTGAAATACCCGGCAGACACAGACATAGGCATACACACACACACACACACACACACACACACACACCGTGTATGGCACACTATATGTTTTTGCATTCGCATGTATGCAGAAACGCATAAAAAGCGTTTGTTTGCCTGCATCGATTAAGTTTTTTTAATGGAAATTAAAGAGCTGGGATTTTGTTCGTGTAGTACACAAAGCTAAGAATGTTATGTTGCATCAACATTCAAATCCTTCTATTTTTCTGACTGTAGATTGTGTATGATCATTTTGTGGGTTGCAGTGTGCAACTCGTACGCATGCGTGAAAAAAAGATTTCTGCTCTCTTCTTCTATCGTCGAAAAGATTTTATTGACTGCGTCCTTAGCAGGCACTATTTCCAGTTATTTTAAGAAGCATGGACGATGTTAATCCTGAAACAATTAGCCTTGGAAATTGCCTAGTCCAAGTAGTGCCCAGCCGTCAATTTCAAAGTCCTCTTTATTGCGTCTCAAAATATTTGGTGGCACGGAGCGAAATTAGGATGAGGAACTTGAGCGCAATCCGTTGGATGTGTATAGCGCCAGGCACGCTGCAACGGCTTATTTCTGGGGGTGTCGGAGGTGCATTCGGCCCTCACGCTGTTTAAAACGTTTGCATGGAGAATTATCGATCCAATTGATTTTACTTTGTATTTGTATTGAGTAGTGAAAAATTTATGTTCATATTCTGTTACAGACTCCGGAATTTCTGGACGAGAGGCGAATCGAACTTGAAAAAT